AAATTGGAATACGTAGAGACTCCTACTCTTCCACTGCAGTTTTGCATTAACAGGCTCCAAGGGCTCTCTTTTGGCGTTCTCTCAATTTCTGTTTCAACTGATAATACTCACTCTCGGCTAGATAATTTTGCGCTTACAAACACTTAACTGTATATTTATCTCCGGCGTACATCATGATGATCTGATTTCTTCTGATGTTTGAATTTGTACAAATTTCTTTACAAATTCTGCCATCTACTTCAGATCATATACTCACAGAACCTCTCTTAATCTGTTATCTTACTTATCAAACTCATTAACCTTCATCTTTTGATTTTAACAGGAGGGCCTCTTTTTTCCTAACCATCACAGTTCACTTATCTGGAAGACCCGCATTAAAATAAGAACGAGCTGCAGGTTTCTCCATTCATGAAACCAAAAGACAAATGAGGATCCCATTCTTCCCCAAACGCTACGTGATCGTGATCTTAACCTTCATCTGCACCTGCGTATGCTACATAGAGCGAGTCGGCTTCTCCATAGCTTACACCGCCGCCGCTGACGCCGCCGGAGTAAACCAGTCGAGCAAAGGAATAATACTCTCCACGTTCTACTATGGGTACGCGTGCTCCCAGGTGCCAGGTGGCTGGGCTGCCCAGAAAATCGGGGGCAGGCGAGTCCTTCTCCTCTCATTCGTCCTCTGGTCCTTCACCTGCGCCTTCGTGCCCCTCGACCCCAACCGAATCACACTCCTTGTCATGGCTCGACTATTAGTCGGCGTAGCCCAGGGCTTCATCTTCCCCTCCATCCACACCGTTCTTGCCCAGTGGGTCCCACCGCACGAGCGCTCGAGATCGGTCTCTCTCACGACTTCCGGAATGTACTTTGGGGCGGCAGCTGGCATGCTCGTTCTCCCGACTCTCGTTAGGCTGCGTGGCCCAAAATCCGTGTTTATAGCCGAGGCTGCATTGGGTGCTATGTGGTCTTTCATCTGGTTCAGGTATGCGAGTGAGCCATCGCGTTCGGACCACAAAAAGGCCACGGCAGCTGGCTTTAGCGAGTCCTTGCTACCTATGAGAGAGAATAGTAAGGTAGAAAACGGGGTCAAGACGCCGCCCAAGATTCCTTGGAAGAGGATTTTTCTGAGTTTGCCAATTTGGGCTATAGTGGTGAACAACTTCACTTTCCACTACGGTCTTTACGTGCTCATGAACTGGCTCCCGACCTACTTCGAGCTGGGCCTGCAGCACAGCCTTCAGGAAATGGGCTCGTCCAAAATGGTGCCGTACCTCAACATGTTTGTGTTCTCGAACATTGGTGGCGTGGTTGCGGACCACTTGATCACGAGGAGGATTTTGTCCGTGACTAGAACGAGAAAGCTTTTGAACACTGTGGGTTTTGTGGTGGCCTCTTTTGCGTTGATGGGGCTTCCTCTGTTCAGGACGCCTAATGGGGCCGTGTTTTGTTCGTCTGTGGCGCTCGGTTTCTTGGCGCTTGGTCGAGCTGGGTTTGCAGTGAATCACATGGATGTTGCCCCAAGGTATGCGGGTATTGTTATGGGGGTTTCTAATACGGCGGGCACTTTGGCTGGGATTGTGGGGGTTGATCTTACCGGTAGGCTTCTAGAAGCTGCTAAGGAGGCTGAGCTGGATCTCACGAGCCCGGATAGCTGGAGGGCTGTTTTTTATATCCCGGGCTTGCTTTGTATTTTTAGCTCGGTTGTGTTTCTTGTGCTATCGACAGGGGAGAGGATTTTTGAATGATTAAAGGAATAATCGAGTCTTTTTATACTTTTGCTCGAATGCGGGAAAGATTTGTTTGCTTCATTTTTCCCCATTTTGATTGCTTAAATTGTTCTTACTGGACACCTCTAGTATATGGCATCATCAAAACCAAAAAATAGATTTTTTTCTGGATTTGTGCTTATGAAATAAATTGTTTTTATTCGTTGTTATAACAAGTTGATTTATGTTGGAATGAGCATGATAGATCTTGTTGAGGATAGTGCAGTGATCTAATTGCAGGTTGAACCAGCTTCATTAACACAATAATGGTGTCTTAACATTAATAAATAAAAGAGAGCTCTTGTAAGATCCCAAGTTACATAACATTCAACTGAAAACTTGTCAATGTTGACATGTTTTCTTAATGGAAAGTTGAGGTTGTTACATTAAAAACTGAATATGATTTGTAATGATTCAAGCTGAACTTGTGCTTCATTCATAAAGTTCAAGAATCGACTTTTGCTGCTGCGGATGCATAGCTGACGCTGCTGTCTCTCATGGACTTGCACTGGCTCGATTGCTCATATCGCAAGAATCGAATTTTTATCTTTGTTGAGCTATTCTTCAGCATCTGGTTGAATTTGGAATAAACAATCTGGTTAGGAAATCAACCAACGAGAAAATAAAATGCGCAAAATACAGATCAGAAGATTTTATTTAGCTTTAAGAAAATTACATGAAGAAAAACACTAATCGGATGGCGTCCACATATGGTATTGTCCGTCTCCAATAGGTATTGCTTAAATGAATCCGGGTCTCCAGTTTCTATTATGTCCATTCCAGTTTTATCCAAAGCCTCGATAGACTTGTAGATTGCTCCATGCTTTTTATCATAATGCGTGTAGTTGAACCTACACAACCAATCAAATTCGTTCTCAGTTAAAGGGTCTCTTCTTGTATGAGTACAAACTATATGCATGGCACTATACCCCAAAGCATAACATACCGGGAACCCCAGTGACAAAAATCTGAAGACACCGAAAAGAAATTTGTAGGGTCATCCACATATTTCGCTAACAATTGGCCATACACGGCTTCACTTTCAGCACTAAGAGCACCAACTAGAATGGGCACAATCTTCACGGGGTACCTGCGTTGATTTCCTCAACATAGTTAGCCAAAATTCTGAAAAAAAAAAAAAAGATACCGAAAGCTATTGACAAAGGGTTTTACCCTTGGAATACTTTAGCTAGATATGGAAGATGCATTTCCATACTATGTTCAGCCTCATCAACATGAACATCCATCACTTCAAACTTCCCAGTCGCTTTTAGTTCATCATTGACTGGCACAAAGCAAAATAGAAAGAAAAAGAAGTAGTTCTATTTTAGTAAAAGTCAAATTAAACAATTAAAACATCGCACATGCATAGAACCTTAGGAATTTTAATTGATAAAATTTGTAGGGAAATTATATAGTTATGATTGACTGTCTTTCATACTTGAAATGAACCCTTCAGTAGGTCCTCAAGTGATTCCCTCTTATAGATCATGTGAATAAACATTTGGGTTTTTGCAATGATAAATCAAACAATGAAAAATCCCTGCTTTTATATCAAGTATTGCAAACTGCAATATCCTCATCTTTGCCAACTGGAGTTCAGCATTTTCTGCAAGTACTTAATAGCTAGCAGTTCTAACCCATCCTTTTTAAAGTTAATCCGGTACCTTTACTTCAAAATACATCTTAAAAAAATGTGTACATCAGATGATAATAACATCCAACAGTTCGGCAGAGCAAACAACCAATAACAGACATTAGTCAGACTATATATCGACCAAGAAAGCGCATCAATATACCTTCCTGATCAATAGGTAGGTCACCAATGGGCGTCTTGTAGACCGTGGCTTTCGAAACCGCACATTTTGGAGTGTAATAATGGTGAGATGGGCCAAGAAGAAACACCCTAGAACTGTTGAACAAAAGAGTCAAAAGTATGATAAATGAAAAAACTTCAGCAACATAAAAGGTAGGGGCAAAACCCACATGTTTTCCGGGTCTATGTTTCCAAAAGCATAGGCCGCTGCACGACCAGAATATGAATAACCTGCATGACTAAAGATTATAAAACCGAAATGTTACACTTGTGCTAAAACCCGTAACTAAAAGTTTTTCAATTCATCAAAAGCAATGGTATATGATGCCTTACGGTGCAATGACACCTCTTACATCCGAAGATTTTACAATGCCACAAGCCCTAAGCCATCCATCAAGTTCCTCCCCCAACTTTTTAGCTACAAAATTTACAGACAACAACACAGCATCAAAGGTTTTGCGAATCTGATCAACAATACTGGTTAAAGTGGTATTAGATTCACTTCACAGCACATACCACATATGCATCAAAAACAGCCCTTTATATAAAAAGTTCAACATAAAGCGAACAAATCTTTTCAGACATGAAATAGGTCATCTCAACAACGCAACTCAAAGACCACAAATGAAAAGGTATTCATATCATTACAGTAAAAATCATTATAATTCAGCCATGATCTTTTCACCCATTTTTTCTCTTGTCCCAAAGAGTTGAAGTTTTGAAAAAAAAAAATCTCTCCTATCGTACAATTGTCGAATTTGGATCAAANAAAAAAAAAAAAAAAAAAGTTGGCCAGCAATAATCTTCAACATCAACCCTTCTCCAGAGTGGAATCGAATTCCAAGAAAGTATGAAATTTGTAATAAGCAGAAAAAGGGGGAAAAATGGTGCTTACGATTGTCGGTGTACCATGAACCAGCATGCGATGCTCGTCTGATCTTCTCCATTACAGCAAATGCTCCGATGACTCCTTCGATTAATGTTTTTCACTGTAATAATGCAAAAGGTAGCTTATCGTGAGCAAAAGTGTAAGAGAGATAAAATTGCGGAGTTTAATTAGATTCTGACGCAAAGTAAAAAAGGACAGTGACAGAAAGCTTGTCCCACCCCACCACCAAACCTACTCTCCATTTTCAAACATTCTGCAAAGAGGGAGTACAAAATAGGGCTAAGCAAGTTCTCAAAACCAAAACGGTTAAGCTATCCGATTCAATGGTTCACCGTCGGACTAGTAGTCAGAACCAGTTTAATTAATATATGTCATTTCATTTATTTTATATGTATATATATAATTATATTTATTTTTATTATTAATTTTATAGTGTATAATGACAATTCTCTAAATAAGAGTTCAATAATCAATATCCTATTTTTCTTCTCATCTTTCATTATGTAAAAATTAGCTGATAAGCTAGTTGAAATATAAATTTCAACTAGCTTATTTGAAAAGTTACCTAAACAAGCTTATGAGATAAACTCGAACTTTTAAAAAAAACTCACCTATCAACAAGATTATTTGAATACAAGAAGCTTATAAGCTAATCAAATAAGCTATAAGCTAGCTTATTTGGCTACCAAACATAACCAAAGTCTTACCAATCTAAAACATATGTAATAGTAATGAAAAACAAAAATGAGATAACAAAAATAATTGTGTTATTTAGTTAAATTGGTCCAAAAATTGTGATCCGCCAAACCGCATGAACCGGAATCGGTTCGACCGGTTCATGACTGTTTTTTGGGCCCAACAGTTAATGCACCAAACCGTACCGGTGTTAAGGCCGGTTCCCGCTTGAACCGGTCGAATCGGCCGGTTCCCGCTTGAACCGATCGAATCGGCCGGTTCAGTCCGGTTTTCTAAACCATGGGACTAAGCTCCACCGTAGAAAATGGTCAAACTGTACGTTATGAGTTATCCAATTAGGTTGGACCATATTTTTTTATTTTTTTTTTCTTATGGGCTCAATAAAGTAAGTTCTCTAAAAAAACCCAAAAAACAAATACACATCCACACAAACATAATTGTTCTGTCAAACGGGGTGACAATGGATTCCTGGTGCTACTCTACCATTTGCCCAAGCCTACAATTCCCGCACTTGGGCTACCAACTGCTCAAGCGTGGGATCCCGAGCTCCTCGTGATACATGCGAAGGTGATGATGTTGACAAGGCTTCGACCTCCTTCTACCTCCTCTGAGGTTGTGGTTGTTGCGTAGCTAGCTCTGGCTAGTTTGGTGTTGTAGTTATTTTTACCGGAGTAGAATCGAAAGATTCGAACACCGGGTCGTGTCTCTCGAGGAAGGTTAGCCGGATTAAATTGTACGTGTATTCAATTACAAAAAGAGTAAATAAGTCCTAAACACTCTAATTCGATTGGTTGGTTTCGATTATCAACTACGAGATTAACTACTAATGATTCTCAAACAAGGCAATTTCGATCACACAACTTCAAACACGACTCAAATAGTTGTAAAGGGACTAGGGTGTCGGGGGCAATCGTTTTCCGTTCTCAATACATTTAACGGGCAGTTAACTACTCGGCTAAAGGACTCGAAAAACTAACTCATCTAGAGATTCATTCTCAATAACTCACGTAACAAGAGATTAAACATAAATGAACAATTATCGAATCAGTTAGCACATAGACAATACGTTTCTGAACAAGTCTATTCTAAACAAGTCTAGATCGATCGATTCCTCCCCTTTCGGTTCTAAAATCGATTCAATAGATCAAGATGGTGATCAATCATCCAACCCTAGGTTTAACACAACTCGTATAGATTGAGCAATTAACATAAACGCAAACGAAATTGAACCAGAACAATTATCCAATAGCCCTAGTTAACAAATTTAGCTACTCATCATAGATTCAACAACGAAATACACATCAATCAAAGCCATCATCATCATAGACAAAAATAAAAAAGAAAGCTTACGATTAATGTAAAACCCAATGTCAAATCCCGAAGGCAATCCAAATCAGAAAGATAAAGAGAGTTTTTCACTCTCCAAGATCAAAAACAAGTGAAAAGATGAGAGAAATATGTTTTGAGATGAAGAAAAACGAAGTACCAAGTCTAAGAATGCCCAAAATGATGTTCTAACTCGACCTTTATGCCTTCCATTTTCAAAATCCACAAAAAACGCGATCAGTTAAAAATAGGCCTTAGCGGCGCTAACCCCTCTTTAGATGGAAACTCTCTGACGTCGCTAGCCCCTCGTTAGACTCCTGTGCGCCGCTAATTCTTGCACCCTTAGCGCCGCTAACCCCTTAGCAGCGCTATGGTCTGGGCAGCTTCCAATTGTTGGTTTTTCGGGCTCGTGAGCTCTCGACTAGTATCTCTCGGGTCTTTCCCGAGCTATAAACGCAATCCTTTGTTGTTTGGTGGCCCGAACTGGGATGAAACACCTGGGAACTGGAACGACCTGAAACCCCCAAAACCGGACAAACACGAAAAACAAGTAAAATAGGGAGAAAAGCAAAGAAAATACTAAACATACCAAAATAAAGATAAAACACGAGAAATGACTAGACGGACCGGTAACACCTAAGAAACTACCTAAAACGGGGGAAAAACACATGCAAAACACCAACAAAAATAGCAACAAAAATAGGACAAACATTTGGCTTTTGAGCCCGAGCTACAGCTTCTCCCCTGATGCGGTCCAACTCGCCCCTAATGAGTTGAATAATATGGTCTCCCTAGGCACTTCATGTGTTCTAGAATTTACCATACGACCTTCTACCTGCCCTAGAGGTCGGTTGACCCCGAATTTTCCTGTTGCTGCTTTCCGAACCTTGAGCCATGACTAGCTCTTGTACTTCTTCGACTCTTGTTTATCCTTGGACGACCGACAACTCTTGCTGTGCCGAAGATCTCACGGACGTGTTTGACACCGGGGTTAATGCCTAGCAAGGTGCCGGCAATATTTTCTATGATGTGACCAATACGCCAGCCGACGCCGACCAACCTGGTAGTGGACCCGTTCCAAGTTTTGTGTCATCCACATCGCATCCAACTCCTTTGTTAAATTTTTCTGAGAATTATCTCTTGTCATGATCTTCAAAGTTCCTTAGCAGTTAGTGAGAAAGCCTCTTATAGCCTCTTATCTCATGTCATGATCTTTCGTCGTGATGCCATCAGAAACATTGCGAAAAATTCATAAAAAATAAATACATCGAAAATAATGCTTCAAACAACTTCTATGAATCAAAACTTTACCAATGCCTTGGTTTTATAGCCAAGTAGAAAATGCAAAGATAAAATATAATCACTTTCTGGAGAACTATGAACAATAGTCACTTTTTTTTTTTTTTGAAACGATAAATTCATTACTAGAACACATAATTACAATCGGCTTAGTAGCCGAATGGGGGAGACCTACTAAAGGTAACCTAGAATCCACAATACAACACTACAAACACACAAAAGTCTCCCCAACGGGAGAATACCCACTCCCCTACGGGAGAATCACTCCTAAAGTGGAGAAAAAAACACAAACACACCGCACAACACAAACACAACAACAAAAAACACAAAAAAAAAATAAACTAATGCCCTTCCAATAGCAGCGAAACCAACCGAACAAAACTTGACGCCGACATCCACGGGCAACCAGGACAAGACCCAGTTCAAGTTACAAAGCCAGAAACTGCAGAATAATTGCCTAACTGGACTCGAGACTAAAAACCTTGCCACGCTTGGGTAGACAACCCCTAGACCCGTCGACGGAGATCAACGACAAGCTCCACCATCACAGCCCCGATGACCCGAGCCCAGGACACGAGACACGGCCCCAACTCAACTCCGTCAATGCAACCATAGGCCCAAAAGCAGAGAAAACGGGAGAAGGAAGAAAAGCGAATCGGCTCGATCTCAGCCCCGACCACCACCAAATCCAAAAGTGATGATCGGAACCGCAGCCCTTAGTCGCAGGCTCGTCGGAAAATCACCGCCGCCCAGAGCCGGGAAGCCGCCGGTCAAGACCCTCCATGGCGACCTATTAGGAAGCGAAATCCAAATTGGGTGAACCCGCTTCCTCACTCAGGAAGAGAAAGCCGCCAGTCCAACGAGCCTTGGAACGCCAGCCACACGGCCCGGTGATGGCTGCCGCCGTGATGGCCCGGAGAGGCTCTACTGGAGGAAGGCGTGAAGATTAGATCTGAGTTTTCTTTATTAGAGAGAGAGAGAGAGAGAGGTGAGAGAATAGGGATTTTTTCCAACAATAGTCACCTTACTTTGTAAAATAACACAATTACCCTTACTACTAGAAATTAGTTATAAAAATATGGGATCCGAGAAATGGTTTCTAGATTTTCAGAAATGATTTCTGATAGAACACAGGGTAAATTGACTAATATTATAGTTACACAAAAAGTGACTATTTTTTTATAAAGATACATGGCCATTTAATGATATTACGAGAAACCAATTTTAATATTATTGAAGTTATTGTAGCCTATAAAAAATGGAACAGAACAAAACAAGAGACAACTTATCAAATTTGAATAATAGAGATTATCAGGAATTGCTAATTGAAGTTCCAGCTTGCCGCCTTGGGTATAAAAATTTTTGGATTTGTTTGGTTTTTTTAGTTTGGTTTGGTTAATTTTGAAAAAAGTGGTATGGTTAATTATTAGTGGGTATATTAAAATAATATTTTAAATAAAATAATTAAAGTTGATTTGATGTAAAAGTATGAGAGAGATGATTTGAAGTGATGGTTAGTTAAAATTATGTGAGTGGATGAATAGTGAATTAAGGTTGATGTGATGTGTAAGAATGATTAGTTGATATTATTTAATTATATTAATAATATTAATGATAGTTGAGTTGAGTTAAAGTTGAGTTAAAAAAAGTGATTGAGTTAAAAATGTTTGGATTTTTTGGATAAATTTTGTATCCAAGCATCCTCGCAATTCAAGTCTCCAGCCTGCCGCCTTGTGTCATCAAAATTTTGGGTTTATTGCACCAAATCCCCCTGTATTATATGAAATTTACGCGTTTTCCCCTGGTATTTCAAAATTTGCATCAAATCCCCTTATATTTAATATCTGCATGCATACTCGCCATTTGATGTTAACGCCGTTACTTTAATACTGATGGCGTTACTTTTTTGTCGAATTTACCATTGTACCCTTACTTTATCAATGAATTTACTATTTTTCCCTTACTGTCATATGTGTTGAATTAAAAATAAAGTGTCAAGGGTAGGGATTGAATTCATGACCTTTGGACTATAAAAGTGAACTCTCCACCAACCAGGCTACACAACATTTGGTTAAGAATGTGGTTTCTTATATATATCATAACGTATAACGAAAATAATATAATAATCAAATATATTTTAAATTATAAATAATATTATGATTTTAAATATTATTCTATATATTTTAAATTATATAACGTCTCACTAAATATTTTTTAATTTAACAATAATAAATGATTGAATAAATTGATTCTATATTATTAATAATATAATAATTGAATAAATTCTATTCTAAAGTATATTGATAATTATAAATTATAAATAATATAATAATTCAGTATGTAGATTTTATAATAATTGAGTAAATAGATTCTAAAATATAAATAATATAAAAATTAAGTAAATATATTCTAAATTATAAGTAATATAATAATGAAGTAATTATATTCTATATTATAGATAATACAATGATATTTTAAATTATAAGTAATATAATAATTCAGTATATATATTTTATAATAATGGAGTAAATATATTCTATATTATAAATAATATAGTAACTGAATAATATATTTTAAATTATACATAATATAGTAATTAAGTAAATAGATTCTATATTATAATAATATAATGATTGAGTAAATAGATTTTAAATTATAAATAATATAATAACCGAATGAAGAGTTTCTAAATTATAAATAAGATTAATAATTTATAAAATTTTATATTTATTCAGATTTAAATAAATAAAATAACCAAAAATTATTTATAATATTAAAGTTCATGATAATTGATATTTTAATTAATAGTTTTTTGAATTATAAATAGAATTTTTTAATTATTATATATTTACCAGAATTTAAACAAATAAACTGAATAAATAATAAGTACATAAATTATTTATTACAAATTCAAAAATAATAATTTTATTGAAAAAAATAATTTATATATTAGTCAAACATTTAAAAAAATATAAAATAATATAAGAACTAAATAAAATAAATAAATAAAAATCATATATATATATATAT